GACCTTCAGGTTTAAGGCTCCGGGTGTGGCTCCCTAAGAAAACCACCCGCCTCGGTTTGAGTACCCGGGCAGTACCTTAGCTTTCACACAAATCAAGTGACTGGTTTGGTGCATATGCATTTGTTGCCCCTCTGTACCAATATTTATGTGTTCAAATAAATAAATAGTGATAGGACTTAAAATCGCTATGATTTGTGTAAATTCACTTGAATACTACTTATAATTAAAGATTAGTAATAATTTATACTCATTAGATTTCTATTCGTTTATAAATGAAAATTTAACATTTCCGTTTTCTGGGAGGGAATATAGGTTACAGATCGATTTCGATTAACGTACCATTAAAAATTAGGTTGCATCTGAGGGCTGTTTCGTCCTATTGTGGGTCTTTTCAAAATTGACCCGCTTATAACGAATACCACCTACTAGTTAAACTGATGTCAAAAAGATCTCTCCTTCAAAAGTATAATCGTGTAATTATTAGTGACTTACTTCAAGACGAATTCCTGAATTTTTAGCAGAAATCCATAACCAGTGAAGAGAATCAAATAATGGTCAGCATCAATATTGGATCATGTGCGTAAACTGATTTAAGTTGCTAGTGCGTATCTGTGGTTTAATGGTAAGCGTTCGCTGTGAAATCTGAAAGTCTTTGGTATAATCTCTTGCAATTTAACCGGGGTTTACAGCTTAAGTGTCTTACACTACTATAAAATAGCTATCCTGTTCCCTGATTTTCAATGGTACCCCAACTGAGGTCAATCCATGGTGGATACCTATTGATTAGAATAATCTTAGCAAACTCCTATTATGGCTATAATAGTTAAACGTTTAGTTCAGTAATTTTACTTGAAAAGATATGTTACCACTTTTGGACATGTTAGTTCATGTAGAATGAAGAAATCATTTAGTTAATGATAGAGAGAAATATGTCTATTAACACTTTTCAGTACATAAAAGATAGCGGACCAATTTTTAAATAGCTTTTAATGTCAGCTGTAAAACTGGTAAAAATCAGTTAACATTAAATGGCTGTTTTATATAAGTCTGTAAAGCGGTATTACTCACCATCGAATCCATGAAGGTCTGGTCCTAGAACAACCAGATATTGTAGTTTATACGCTGTGAACATTATACTAGGTTGAAACTTTCTGTCAGTTCGCAATATAGCTCATCACATTCAAATTTTATTAACCTGTATCGGTTTCAGTGATCTCGCACTCCTGTTAGATTTTCTACAAGTATGTTTCATGATTTAAGGTTGATTGGTTTCTATGATACCGAATGATCTCTTTATACCATAAATTTATTGAAATTGCAACACTCCTACGATATAATGGGATAATAAAGTACTATAAATCGTAAATGTCCTTCGTCTGACTTCTTAAAAGTACTAGTCCTTGCAATGTATCAGGTTTAGATCCACAAAGTTACTTAGTTTATTATTTTATTTCTCTAATGGTTAAGCTCACCAAATGAGATTGATGTTCGCACCAATTATTATCTTACTGTGGGTAGCTTATGGGTTACTGGTTAAATAAGTTTTGCATCTACTGATAAAACTTTTCCTTCAGTTAATACTATAAGTATTCGGCAATCACTGAAGCGAACGCGATAGAGAACAAATGTATTAGGAATTAATTTATTATGTGATCGGTTATGAAGTTAACTGTCCTACCCATAATAAACTCTAAACTACTTTAAAATATAAGCTAGATGGTTTTATCATAAACTCATATCAAACAAGCGAAGAGCTTTCAGCTAACTAAAAGATGTCCAGTTAATATATTACTCCCTACAAAATCTTTCTTTTCTCATTTCTTTACTTGTGATTATGAGATGAGTCTGAAAATTAGCTTAATAAGTTTGTACTACTTAAATTATTTTAAGTAGTATAAATGTGTTAGAATCGTTTATATGTTTTGCATACAGGTCCTGTACAAAATATTTTCTGATCACTTTAATTTAAAAAACGCCTAACCGAGAAGTTTATTGAAGGTTAATTATATTCTTTTAAAACATTTTTTTGCGATAAAACCTAAATATAAACTAAAAAAGTTTTATAGGCAAAGATGTATAGTGGCTAATAGTGGAAGCCAGGGCACGTGTTTCGTCTTATTTGGGACACGTCAGCTAGATGTTCACTCTGGGATTCGAACCCAGTACCGGTCGATTCAAACTCTGTCGAGTCCCAGCATCATCATCAATTGTGAGATGCAGGCACATCCAGCTATCGAGTCCCGAATGGACGAAACGCTCATCTTGGATTCCACTGCTAGCCACCACCCATCTTTGCTTATAAAGTTCATGACTCAAGGCAATATCGAGGAAATATACACAGTATGCACATATGCCAATAAGAGACTGATCAATCGCAATGATAAACGTCAATGGGAAGATTCTAGTAAACAATACCACGTGAATTTTAAAAAGTTTTATTCATTTGTTTTTTCTAATGATTTATTCACACATTTTCATTTCCCATGAGACCAACAATAAACCTGAATAAAAGACAATGTATTTTTCTTCAATAAGATATGATAATATAAGTTTTTGACTATATTACTCTCTATATATAAATATATTTTGTACAAGGAAATGGTCAAGAATTCACTTGGTATTGTTTGCTTGTATCTTTACATTGTTGTTAAGAACTGCAATTGATCAATTACAAACGATACTGGATCCGAGTTCCAGAGTGAGAACCATACAATGAATACTTCATTTTCAAAATACCAGTCAATCATCTCAGAATTCCATACCAATCATTCTTTATTCTCAATCTTTTTTTTCTTCAATCTCCTCAACTTTCTTCTGCCAAATATTTTACTTTCGATTAATGATACATACTACAAACATATCTAAGTTTTCTATAGTTTAATACAATATTCTAAACAACTGACATATTTTCACCTGTTTTACATGGATTCAATTTATAAACATTTCAAATAAACAATATCAATCAAGAATGATTATAACATAATCCATTGGTTTAGTGATGTATATATGTATGTTTATGTGTGTGTGACATTATTGTCTCATGACTTCTTGTATCCTTAATATGATCCTTAGTATTACTATTATTATTATTATTATAGTAAACAATATGTCATTCTTATTAAACATTCCATGATCATTACATGATCCTAATTGTTATTAAACAAAAAAATAATGAACAGCTTGCGATCAAATTCAGTAATATATCTGATTTTTTTTAAAAAAAAAGCAAAAATAATTTGACATCTTTACCCTATTTTCATTTTGTCATTAAAAACAATCACTTGTTGATTAGTTATCATATTAATAATAAGAAGAATTTATAATCCTTTTTAATACATAATAAACAATATCTATTGTCTTTCAATGAATCTATGGAACAAACATTCATTCATCTTAAACATCTGGTTAGAAAATGGGGTTTTGTTGGGGGGTTTTTTCAAAATTAACTTTTGAATAGATTGGTTTAGAAACAAATAGAATTTCATTCTATAAGAATCAATTATTCATGAAAGACAATAGTAAATAGTCATGTAAAATCATAAGTATTGTTTAATGGTTTAAATGTTCAATGTAAAATTTTAGATTAGATCTTTTGAAATGATATTGTTGATGTATACCTCAAAGATGTTCCATAGTAGAAGGAAATAATTGTGTAGACCTTCTTGGTTGTTGTTGTTTTGTTTGTTTAATGAATCTTTTTTAGTGGTCTAAGATCTGACTCCAATAAGATCATTCCTGATTACTATTGAGATATATATATATATATCGTCAATCCTCATATGTAATGATTGACTTAGATTGTGTTAGTGAATAATGGAATTAAGTAAGTGAAATACGAGAATGAATTTCACAATACATATATTTGGTTCCCCCGAATACTATGATACGGACGAGAGTGGGGAGATTCCTCTCTCTCGAAATGGTCTCACATGGCCACGAGTATATAGTCTCTGCCAGAAAAGTCTTCCTCACTGCCTTCTTGTGGCATTAATGTTGTTTACGAAATTCAGAGGACGGAAAGCGAATGTCCGGCACTTTAACCAGGTTGGTGGACATGGAGAGTCCAACTAGAGAAGTTGGAAAACCCTGATTACAAACCAATGGTGCACATGGGCTGGCTAAAGTATCCTGAGGGAATAAATGACGTATGAACCAATCGTCGGTGACCGACTACCATGTGACTGCATTCCCTTACGTTGCTCCACTGCCTTATGGATCAGACCTTCAGGTCGAAGGTTTCAGGTGTGGTCCCTTTAGGAAACCACGTGATTCGGTTTTAGGAGCCGGATGGTATCACAGCCCTCACACGATCCCGCTCCACAATATTCAAACTCAGGACCTATATGTATCGTATTGGTCCATAAATAGTACTCAAGAGTTATCATTTAGAATTCTCATCGGGATAATAACAACTTTTAATTCTATCTTTCAAAGAATTTATTGTCAAATACATTCATGTGTCTAAAGTGAAATAATTCTCATATTTAACCTTGAAATTCTATTAGTTCCCACTTGTTCAGTGCTAACATTTCAGAAATCTACATTACTTTAAAAGGAGTTTTGGTGAAAGTTTAACTTAACTATCATAAGTAGAATAGCATTTTTGTGTATTACTTATTTAATTAGAAAGTAATGAACAATACATGATTGTACATTCTTAAACAGCTTTAAACTAGAATAACATAGATATCCAACTTGACTTAATTCTTTGATATGACAGGAAGAAAAGTCAGTATGACATGTAGCATATGATATGATATTATCTTAATTATTAATCAATATATAAATGAGTGTATTTTCAACTAGGGTCAACGTCATGGTAGTAATGTTTTTGGGCTTAATTAATCTTCACTTGTACCAGTCTTTGTGTTGTTACTATCGTATCATGGAAATAACAATAGTTCCTCTTTTTACAACTAAAGGAATAACTGATTCTAGTATAACAATCAACGAAGACCTAATATAACAGAGTCGGATTCAATCAAGAAGACATATCATTCTTAACATTTATCCCATTTGAATTTATTACATAATATGAACTCAATTTAAATACTTTACAACGAACTTCACATTAACCAAAATAAAATAGTCTCTGAGTTGTTGTTGTTTTTTTTTCTTCTCCTTTTTGTCTAGTAACACATAGATAGTAACTATATTACCAAAAATATTCAATGTTTCATTGTATGTTATTTCATTCACTGATTGAATCATTATGAAGCGGGAAAAAGAAAACAAACTCTGAGAAACTATTCTTGATAATATTAAAACTAGAAATATGAATGTTTTTTTCTTTTCTTCTCTTTCTTTATCAATAAGGAATGAAACAGAATTATAAAACAAATAAAGGACTTATCAGATTTGAATAAAAAATAATATATAAATTGAATATGAAAAAGTCAGTTACAACACTCATGAACAAGTGTAATGGTTACTGTTTATACTGAAGTGTTCAGAGGGGGGTTGTTGTGTTTTGTTTTACTTAGATTTCCCTTAATTCAATTGTAATTTCCTTTATTCTAGTATATATGTTTTGCCATGCAATACTTTGATAGAACATATCTATTTAAGACATCCATATATGTATAAATATTCTGATGTTTATATAACGGGTGTATTCATAAACCTGTAAAATTACATATTTACTTACTTATTGTTGTTGTTGTCATAGCGGTTACTTCACTTTCTATCTCTTCGCTTTGTATATCCCTCTTTCTAATTATTAACTGTAACATTCAAAAAAGTAAAACACACATACACAATACGAAATCGGAGAATAACTCCGAATCCATTACAGGAAGTGATTGTGATATTTATATACATATGTATATATAAGTATATATAGTTTAGGTATTAGACAGTTAGTCAAATAGAAGCCTATAATTGTATATGAAATACAAATGCTAACAATAAAAGAATACCAAAGAGACAGAGTGTATATATGTGTGTGTGTGAATGAAAGACCCTACTATTCAACAATATAATCCGCCATAGACAATTAGAAAAATTTAATTAATTAAAATATTTATTATTATCTTTATATGTACATCAAAATTTTCACCATTTCAATCTTTACTTATACCCCTTTTTGTTTCTGCCTATTTAATATGGAATATATTTCTATTCCTATATATACATACATAGATAGATAGATACCTTGTCGTCAGTAGATTTTCCATCATTGAAAAACTTCTTATTACTATTACAACTTCTACTACTACTGAATCTGTTAAATCATTCAATAGTTGTTTTTTTTTCTATTTCTATCCTGTTCTTTTTCAATGTTGACAGAACAATCCAGAATATTCCATAGTAATAAGAATCATCTGAACAGAGTGAAAGAGAAGTACACATATATGTAAAAAAATTAAATTTGAATTTTATAGTTCACCTTTCATTATTATTATTACTATTCTTCATATATTACTTTATAACTATGAGTAGTATTAGTAATCAGTAATTCTATAGTACTAATATATAATAAAATACTACTGTTAATAATAATAATAAGTCTCAATGTATATTTTCATATTTACTTTCATTTGATTATTTCCTGTCTATCTTTATTATTCTTTAAGGTTTTATTTTTTCGCTTACTTTTCTTAATTCTACTATCTTTTACTTCTCTTAATTTCCGTCTTCTTTTTTTTCTTTCTTTTCTTTTCTCCCCATTTCACAGTCTTTCATCTTTTTCATATAAATATATATAGATAGATATATATAATCCATCGTTTTTTTTTGTTTTCTCATAACTGTGTACAACATTCATATTGGCGCCAGTGAATTCCGACATCTCTATTAAAATATACAAATAATATAAACCGCTATGATTACTGCGTTTATTTGTGGTTACAGTAGTACTCTTACTGATATATTTTTCTTTTTTTTAAAAAGAAAAAAGTAACATTAAGTTATTGTTATTCTCCTTGTTTTAGTTTACAGATAGGCGACGAGGATATAGACTTCTATAACAACAAGTGTAGTTTTTTTTAAAAAAACGAAAATTTCGGTAAAATAGCGATTTTATAACAAACAAACAAATAAGAAACGAATGTATATAGGTAACATTCAATATTATTCTATGATTATATAATCGATGAAATAGTTCAGAATCTATTAGAAGATTTGAACTTTCTAGATGATCTAACTTTTTCAATCTAGTATACTGATGAAAATAAGTAGTATAGTAGAAGTGTTTATATCAGTAAGCCTTAACATATACAAAGAACAAACTAAGATCGTCAAAATAGAATATGGAAAATATTAACTTCATCACACTTGATGAAGAAATTCTGGAAAAGGTGGAATCTTTCACATACTTGAGAAATATTATCGAGGAACAATGGAGGATCTAATGTAGATGTAAATATATATCTACTTTGATTAATGAAAACAGTAATTTAATCAGAAGTATATTCTTAAAATAGAAGTTAACATGAAGTGTTAATGTTTCAAATCACTTCATTTCATCAGACTGAATATTATAATATAAGATCTTTCATATTGAATAGTATTATATAACATAATTTAAATTCATGTTGCGGTAATAAATCTATAATTTAATGAATATAAACAAACAATCAAGATAAGTGAATAGTTTAAGTAGTAGAATAAACGTGTATCATAGTAGATAGCTTTGAATTTTGTCATTCTTTCGCTTGTATTTAAGATGCAAAATAAAGTAGTATAAACTAGTAGTAAATATTACTAGATTATTATTTGTTAAGTTTTGATTAACTGAGATTTTTAAATAATTATGACTGTTCAATTGATTCCTGTAGGTTAGCACAAACTACTAGAATAAAGTCCAAAAGATTATTTTAAAATCAGTGACTAGAGAATTTTGATGATATATCTCAGAATAGGTTACAAATGAGCAGCTATATATACTGTTTAATATAAGGAAGGGTTTTTGTGGAGATCGTAGTAATTTCAATAGTTGAGATTATGAGTCATTTGAAGCTAGACCTTCATGGAATACTTGGAAGCACTGGATGGTCGTTTCTTCCTATTGTGAGATTTATTAGCATTGCGCATCCATGGCCCCACCTCGAAAGATTTACACCGCCGGATGCTGGTTCAGTGATCTAGTGGTTAAGCGCTCACGCGAGAAACTGATAGGTCCTGGGTTCGAATCTCACGGGGGTGAGATCGTGGATGCGTACTGCTAAGGAGTCCCACAATAAGTTTTCCATGGTGGACTAGCTTCAACTGACTCGTGATCTTAACCTCTGGAAAAAATAATAGTAAAAAAAGTAAGCAATTAAAGGTTATTTCATCTTTATTTAGTACATTTCAATAGTATACTCTTCACATTAACAATGTACGAAGATAATTGACATGAAGTTGAATCGATCTTAACAAAACACATTAACTAGATAATGATCATAAGTTTATCAATGTTTAAATTTGATAAGAATTTCTTGAATATCTAATATGATTTAATGATTAATGAAATCAGTTATGTCATAATCGAAACAATTTAATAGATGAAGGTCAAGGCACGTCATGTTGTTGATTAGAAACCTAACTCACTTCTTTATATGTACAAAATGAAACCTAGTTTAACTCTTCATTACTTCTAATACTATTTAAGATTTACTTTTTAATTGATATCATGCATAGATTAATGTTAGACCATCATTGAAAACCTGGAAGCACTGGACGGTCATTTCGTCTTAACATGGAACTCATCAGCAGTGTACATGCACGATTCCGTATGTGGGAGTCGAACCCAGGACCTTCGGTTTCGTCAAGGAATGCTTAATGTGTAACTTTAACCGCAACCGTCCACCCTTGTCTTCAACCATTCATGATATCAATCGAAACTCAACAATCTCTTCAATCCTATACTGATTTGCTTTATAATTATTCTTAAGCGATTCATGTTAAAAAGGTATTTAACTACTAATAGAAAGAATGAAAATTTCTCCCTACTTGTTTAGACTATGGAATCAATGACAAGATTTGATATGATTTTGTGATTTGAATGATGACTAGTTGTAAAAACTCAGTTTATTAACAAGCAAACAAAAAAACCTACAGTGAATAAATGTCAAGTAATAGAATATGTCGTTGGCAAAAATGCCAAACTTAGAAATTAAAATATAAACATGATTCCAATTTATACAGGCATGAACAATTGAGTGAATCTTATTTTACAGGTCATCTATTGATTAATGACCTAATGATCTGGTTATCAGGTCTAATTATTGTCTTTTGTGTTAACTGTAACTTAATGATATTAAAGGGGATTTTTAGTATTTATGTTTCTTTACTCATTATAGTCACAAACATCTCCAGAATTTTCACTGGTTGAAATCATGAGTCCATTGAAGCTAGACCATCATGGAAAACCTGGAAGCACTGGACGGCCGTTTCGTTCTGGTATGGGACTCTTCAGCAGTACACATCCACGACCTCGCCCCCTGCGAGATTTGAACCCAGGACCTACTGGTTTCGCGCGCGAGCACTTAACTACCAGACCACTGAGTCGACATCAAACGGTGTTAATTTCTAACTTCAGAATTTTTGTTTTATATGAAACTCAACGTATTAAATGTAAAGGATTGTATAATTGTTATATCTCAACAGCGAATTTTTTGAAATATCAATGTCCTAGCCAACTCTTGGACTTCCACAAATTTAATACTCTTAAACTCTAAAGAAATTAGAACAAACAGACAGTACCATTGAGGTTTGTTTCAAATACAGTTTTGATTAAGTATGAAAAGAATGTCTAAATGATTACATAAAAAACACTAGTATTAGTGTCAGTGAAGAAATGGACATGAATTTATTGAATCATGAGCAGAGATAGATAGTGGCTAGCAATGGAATCTAGAACTCACGTTTCGTCCATCTCTATTTATAATGCTTGTGAATTAAAGCGATTACGAGGCGATCTGCAAAAGATGCACAGGTGCCAAAAATGAGACTGTTCAATTGTAGTTGTAAACGTTAATGAGAAGACTGAAATAATTAATGCAAATGAATATCGGATTATGGAATTTATGAGAATTTCTTTAAAGAGCAACTGTGTATTGTATATTTCTAAACTTTTCTAAATAATTTATTACATTCATTTTGTATTGCTTATTTGAAACGTCCCATTGATGTATTAGGACTACAATGGATCAATCTCATATTGACATATGTATATCCTATGGGGATTGCTTCTATATTACCTTAAGTCACAAGATGTATAATGACTAGTAGTGAAATCTAGAACATACATTACATCCTATTTGAAACTTGTCAGCTAAATGTACCTAAATCCCAAAAAATCTCAAATAGAACAAAATGTACATCCTGGATTCCACTGTCAACCATCATCCATTGTTGCTTAGAATCGATTACAATTTCAGAGCATCCTATTCATTTCAACGACAGATGATAAATTTTTTTAAAAAAAATTATTTTTATTTTCCCAATTACATATTGAATTACTTAGGGAAAAAAAGGAATAATATGTAAAATGAATACTACATAGCTTAACTACATTTTTTTATTCTATATATATGCACATGTTTACATTCAGTAACTAAACAAAAAAATCATCTCCCTTAGAGAAGCAAATAAAAGTAGAATAGACAAAAATATGAATAAACTGTTGTTTTCATAACTTTAAAAGCGTTTAGCAAATATACCTACTAATATCAACGAAAAGGGAGTCTCTCCCTCCCCCATCTCTCTCTCTCTATATATATATATGCGGGGGGGTGAAAGAGTATATAGCCAGCTAGGCAACTCTAATCTTTGTTGTTGTTGTTTTCTATTTTCTTTACTCCATCCCATATTACTAACTACTAATTTAACTTAATGTTTTGCCCATCTTTTTTATTGATTGGTTTTATAAGTGCTTAATTACATTAGGCGCCTATATTTAGAGGAGTTAGTTATATAGAGAAGAAAAAATATATACAGAATGATATCTAAATCAAGATAAGAATTGATAGTTTTAGTTAGTATGGTGTATTAATGAATTTGGATGTGTGTTTGTTTGTTTGTGTTTCTATTGAGTATTAAATGTTTGCCTTTTTTTGTAAAACAAAAAAAAAGGTAAAAGTTACCAGTGGATAGAATAAATGAAACAGGTAGGATGTATAAAAGTACGTTTATAAAGTA